GGGGGCCCCCCCCGGCCCTCCCCGTTCAGCTGCCGGGGGGGCCCTGCGTCCTCAGAGGCCTCCGAGCCCGTCCCGTCCTCGTCTTCGTCATCCTCATCCTCGTCCTCCTCCTCCTCCTCCCGTGCCGAGGCCTCGCTGCTGCTGCAGGGGGGCTGGGGGTCCCCAAAAGCACAGCGTGAACGCCACCCCACAGAGACCCCCAAGAGCTGGGACCCCCCCCCAACAACCTACAGACCCCCAAAAGTCTGTGGCCACAAAAATGTATAGCCCTGGCACCAAAATCGACAGCCCCCACCAAAGCAGGGCCTCCACAGCTGCACCTTGACCACCCTGCAGTGTGACACCAACCCCCCCCCAAAAAAATTCAGAACACCCTCAGTCCTGAAAGCTACCCCCCCAAATCCAGGACAGCCCCAAAAAATTACCCCCCCCAAGTCCTGCAGAGTCCCCCAAACCCAGGATGCCCCAATTCTGCGCTCCCCCCAGAGCTGTCACCCCAGCATTGTCATTGTCCCCACCACAACATCCTGGGGTTCCCCCAACCTCCCAGCCCCCCACCCCCATCCAGTCCTGGCTCTTGGTGACCCCAAAACCCCCGCAGGTCCCCACTTTCACCTCAGGTCCCCTAAATCCCCCAGTCCCTGCGCCCCCATCTCCAGGCCACTCAAGTCCTCTTGGGCCCCCCAACATCCCCTTGAGATCTCTGCTGTCCCCTCAGAGGTGTCCCCAAACCAACCCCTCTGCCCCCCAAGTCCCCTCAGGAGACCTCCCCAGGTCCCCTCAGTGTCCCAATTCCCTCACGGGACCCCTAAATTGTCTCAGGGACCCCCTAAATCATCTCAGGATCCCTCCCCAAATCCCTTCAGCCCCCCAGACCCTTTCTCTGTGTCCTGTTGTCCCCTTCCTACCCGGTTCCACCCACTTTGTGCTCCCCCTCTGTCCCCACCAACCCTTCAGGGGTCCCCTCAGGACTCCAGTGTCCCCTCACCACCCCTGTCCCTGGTCCCCCCAGAGCCCCTCAGGACCCTCGCACACCCCCAAATTCCCACCACCTCACCCTGGGGCCCCTCAGGGTCACCCTCCCAGAGCCCCCCAGTCCTCTCTGTGCCCTCGGGGTCCTCTCAGCCC